CTGCAAAAACTTGAAAAGGAGAAAACAATCAATCGAGCGTTGTATTATAGATTGTACCCAGGGGAGCCACTCCCCGTCTTTACGGACTTCCAAAAATACATAAAGAAGGAACACCACTCAGACCCATCGTCAGCAGCATGAACTCAGTGACATACAATATTGCTAAACATCTGGCTGATATTTTAGCTCCTCTTGTTGGAAACACACCATCACATAAAGAACTCCATTGATTTTGCTAACAAAGTTCAACACTTGAAACTAACCCCAGGAGAAACCCTTGTATCGTATGATGTGACTTCTCTTTTCACTTGCATACCCATCTCTGAAGCAGTAGAAACCGTCAGAAAACAACTTCTACAAGACAAAGACTTAATCAACAGGACCAACTTCACCCCGGACCAGATCTGCACCCTGTTGGATCTCTGCCTCTCCACCACTTATTTCAAGTTCAATTGACAGTTTTTCCAGACAGAAGCACGGCTGTGCCATGGGATCTCCAGTGTCACCCATTGTTGCCAATCTCTACATGAAGGAACTGGAACAGAGAGCCCTAAACTCCTTTGATGGAACAACGCCAAGCCATTGGTTCAGATATGTGGATGACACTTGGGTCAAAATCCAAGCTAAGGAAATAGAAGCGTTCACCAGACACTGTAACTCGGTCGATAACAACATCAAGTTCACCAGAGAAGATGCAAACGACAACGAGCTGCCTTTTTTGGACTGTTTGATTCTGATGGAAAGAGAGGACACTCTCAACATTGAAGTTTACAGAAAACCAACCCACACAGACCAGTATCTTCTGTTTGACTCCCACCATCCACTGGAACACAAACTCTCTGTTATCAGAACTTTACAGCATCAGGCCGAACGCGTCCCCACGAAGACAGAAGGGAAGGAAAAGGAACAGAAACACATTCAAGAAGCTCTTAAAACATGTGGATATCCAAGCTGGGCTTTTATCAAGTCAGCGAGGAAATCTACAAAACACATCAATATACAGAAAAAGGAGAACAGCAGACGTAAAAACATTGTCATCCCTTATGTTGCTGGAGTATCAGAGAAATTCAGAAGGATCTTCAACAAATACAAGATCCCAGTACATTTCAAACCCAGCAGGACTCTCAGACAGAGGCTGGTCCACCCTAAGGACAAGACACCCATACACAAACAGAGTGGTGTAGTGTATGTGGTCCAGTGCAGCGAGGACTGTCCAGACCTCTACATTGGAGAAACTAAACAGCCTCTTCACAGACGCATGACTCAACACAGGAGAGCCACCTCCTCTGGACAAGACTCAGCT